CTACCTATTTTTTCTGTGCAAAATAGGTAGAGGAGGATCAGGAACCAAGGCACAGGAGTTCCATTCAGAGGCTATGCTGGGACTGAGTTTCACTCTTTGGCAAAGCTTAGTCCCTGCAGGACATTACCTACGCCCCATCTCCTGGGTCTAGTAAATTAATTTAGTCCCTTAGACTTAATCACTAAGTCTGTGACCACAAACTCCTACAGATGCCCTACAGATAAACCTTCCCCTGAGCTTTTGTTCTGGAGGCTGTCGTGATCCTCCTGCTGGGAGCGGATGCGTGCCTGTGCTGCAGCCCCTTCGGGCTGTGCTTCAAAGATATTCCCCACGGGAAAGGTTGAAGCAGCTCCTCGCTGACGGCCTTTCTTTTGAAAAGCAGTAGGAAACACTTCAAGGGAAGTCAGGGAGGTCAAGGACAAATGGCAGCCATAGCAGTCTGTCACAAAGAAGCAAGAGTGTAATGCAGAGAATCCCTCTGCAAAACAGTCTCTCAGGAAATGGAACAAATCGAACTACACTAGTGGATCTAGTACCAATAGCGAATCAATGAAGTAAAACATTTAAATGTAAAACTGAAATTTCAGCAGCTTATAAGCTATCAGAGAAGCTATTTCCTATGAAATTTGGACATGGATCTGCTCCCTAAAATACCGAGATGTTCACTGCAAAATACACTATCAGTTATGCACTATGGGTTAAGAAAAGAAACTGTTCAGCAAAACCAGGGAAACATTTTGATATTTTGCAAGGCTTTGCGATTTAGAAACTCTTTGCCCTTGCAACTCATGGCAGTCAGTCTTCTAAGTCCTCTGACATCTTTCCTCCCGTAAGCCTTAGTGATAGAGGAAAAAACCCAACCCTAAAGCCTTAGTAAAATAAATTTGAAAGTATTTTGTCAGGAATTCCAGCTTCCCTTCTGCCCCTTTCAGCTCAACCAGCAGTTACACTGCTATAAAATCATACTGCAGTACCTTAAAGAAATATATTTGATGCTTCATTTTCAGCTAACATTTCAATTTTTCCCACTATTATTTTTCCTGGCTGGGTGAAAACACACTTGGATTAATTATCTGACCAGCAGGGGTTTTGCCCAAGTTTTATTTGCACTTTTTTTTTTTTTAACTGTTCACTTTCTTTTCTTCTAACAAACTGTTTTCCTGAAATAAATACAATCCCAGTGTCAGTCACTTAGAGAGGAGCTACGTAGTGTATCCTTAACACAAGTTCTCACCTGGGTGAGTTTGCCCAGCTGTGCCTGGGAGGCTCATGTCAGAGGCTCTGTCCCACTGAAGTCTGCAGTGCCATCAGCCTGTCATCACAAGCACACAGAGTTCCTTACTGAGCAATCCAGTTTTGAAAAATCTTCATTATTCTTTATTCAGCAACCTTATTTTACCACCCAGGATGAGTCACTCCATCCTGATGCTTAGTGCATATGTGAGGTATGCAGTTCTAAACCTTTCATGCTTCTAAGGCTTGCATGTTTTAGCTGGTTAATCACAAGATTTTTGTTAGCTATCCAAACTAACTAATCATCCTATTTTCTTATACAAAATGTACGTCAAAAGCTGAATTAAAATGATAAGGAGGAGACAAAGACAAATTAAATTATTATGGAAAGAGCTTTCTCCTACTGAATGTAGTTCAAGGTCAGAATCTCAAGGGCTCCAGTGGTGAACATCCTTTCACAGTCCCAGCACAGGGGACTTTGGCCTTTGGTGAGTGTATGCCAAGGCTCTACCTGGATCAGCAGCATTGTGGGAAAACCCAGCTACCAACAGAGCCCAGGACGAAAGAGCCATGTCTGTCAGCACCTGGGGTTACTGGTACGATGCTGCTACATGCCTCACTGACCACAGGTACACTCAAAACAAGATGCTTTTCATCATCTACACCTCAGGCAGACTCCTGCCTATTGGTATCTTTTTCCTCAGTCACTGTGCTTTTTGCAGTTGCTGTTGGACAATCTGTGAACAAGAATGGTCAGGCAGGAGGACAACGTGCTACTTTCACATAGAAGATTTAGCTACCCCCTGTTCTGTGTGAACAGGGCCATGTCAGTGCTACCCTGACACCTTTACTATCAAGGGGTAACTTCAGCTTTGTGCTTCCTTCAGGACACAGGCTGTGGGCTGTGACCTGACTTGAGACACCGTGACAATTGGATTGACTCACACTACAGAGGTATTAGCCCATCATGAGAACTGGCCCAAGTTTCACCATTTCCAAGCCAGGCAGGCGAGTTTGCAGTTGCTTCTGTAGCATGCCAGAGGTACCAGCATCTCAAATGTACTCTTTGAATACAAGATCATCTCAGCTATTACACATAGGCTGGCTAACATTCAAGCTATTGAGTAGTAACAGCAACTTGTTCTCATAGGTCATCCCGTATGAGCTTCTGAATTACTCAATGTCATCGAGAAAGGGATAAAACTACATTTATGAGTAATAGATAAAATTCAAACAAGACCTTTATTTACATTAGGTTTTCAAGCACTGAGTGTTGCAACATACATAACAAAATTTCATACTACATTTTTTTATAGGAAATCCAGGTTGAAAAGCTGATCTACAGAATCAATTTGTCAAAAACTGGCTAAGCAGAAAATGTGTCAGCTCGGTTTTAGAGTACTCTGTCAATTTTACACCATCTGCTCTCGTTCAGAGTATTCCTGATGTCATGGTTATAAAAACAGAGCACTCATGCAGGTTAATTTACAGTGAACTCTCCTAGTAAATTTTACATTCTTCACTTGTTCAGAAGAGCAGGTCAATACTCTCCCCATTGTCTCACAAAGCAATTACAGATGCAAACAGGGAGAAAACTAGATTTTTAACAGAAAGAAAACTGGATTTAGCAAGACAAGAAGTCAGAACTTTAATTCCATGGCAAACTGAATTATAATCTCTCATTCTGTAGAAAACAAGTTGTACTGTAAGGATTAAACAAGTCCTTTTATTCCATATTAACACTATGCAGCAACCAAGATGAGTGTCTAGGTAAACAGAAACTTCGTGAAATGTTTTGCTGCAAAGCTGACTTCAGTAATGCACGCAAATGATAAAGTCATCAACTTTGCTCACTGCCAGAAATAAAAAAAATGGCTTCAGGAGCAAATAACACTGATTCATACTGTGCTCAAGCACTAGTCAACAAAATCTATTAAATTACACAGGGGTGGGGAAAAAAAAAACAAAGCAGCTTTGTTATCTTACTTGTGACACCTTATTTAAATTTCAGGCATTACTTCTTTATATCAGCATAAATATGTAGCCTTCTACACCTTTTATGATGTGGTTACAAACACATAAATGTTATAGTAGAAAGCAAGAGCTAGTTCAAGGACTTTCAGACTTCAAAATCAGCAAGATACAAAGCTAAAATTCATATGTTCCTTTTCAAGTTATGAATACTTTCACTAAAACATAAATATTTTAACATATATTAATTTTTTCTGACATTCAAAATTGTAAAGTCAATATGGCAGAATTATTGTTAAAAGCACATATTTACAAATATTCTTTTTCCATACATAAAGTATTTGGCATAATTATAACAATCTTACTGCATACACAACTGTTTGCTTCTTTTTCACATAATGGTACACTCCTTATTAAAATTTACCAATTATGTACAAAAATACTTGAACATTTATTATAGAAAACCTCTATAACTACCGTCAACAGCTTGTGACTGCTGAAGGTTTAATTGAGAGAATATAAAAAGTGGTCACTTTCTTCCAGTTAAACTATCAACAAATCAAACACAGCTAAAATCAGCATGAGCTTCCCAACAAAAGAGGGAGAATATTTTTAACGGCATGATTTAAAATGCAGTTCACACATCTGTTCCCGAGTACATGTTAAACAGTCAGTAAAAGAAAGAGGATACAAAAAATACATACAGAAGGTGCTTTTTTCTTTCTTTTTTTTTTTTTTTTACCCTCCACATTCCTACGGCTTGGCATTAGCTTTCCAGAACTCTTCAGATGCCAGTCACTAAAATACAGCCTAAGGCCAAACACCATTCCTCTACAGTAAGGATGATGGTGATGAATTCAAGCTAAAAAGCAAATCCAAAACCTGACTCTACCAGTATGTACACATCCAAAGCGCTGCTCAGAATTTTTGCAAGGTTTTTACAGAACAATTAATGACCTTTGCAATTAGCTTTTGAAATTTATTGATGGCTAACGAGTAATCTGTATTTTAAAAAATTTGTTCATTTAGTGTATTGCCTTGGTACTAGTCATTACTGATTCATGTACACAAGTTAAATGAACAATTCATTTGTACCTATTTCATACACAGATTGTATTTAAGGGTGAACTTTCAAAAACAGCAGAAAGCCTCCGCTAGCAAACTGCTAGCTTATTAAAAAACAAACCCAAAACAACAATGATGACATTAACTGGAAGATTAAAAGTAAATTGCACCTCGAAGATAAAGGATGTGTCAGGTACAGCAATAAAATGGCACAAAACCTTATCAAGATTCACCAGAATGGTACTGTACGCTGAATGAAATGTGGGTATTTTCCCATCTTAAAACTAACATAAACCAAATGTGTGTTTCAAAAATTTCAAACCACGTTCTTACAACAGTTCTCTGCAGGATAACTTACATTGTATCTCCCTTTTTCCACAGACATTTGAAATGACTAACCTGTTCATTGGATAAGAGAAACATCTTTCAGCCTACTTGCAGAAACATCCTAGTCTACAGACTACTTTGTTAGAAAGCGTGCATTTATCTCTAGTAGTAAAGATCCAGTCAGTATATTCTGCATTTTGTAAGAAGCATTTAGCTAACTCAGATGAGAGTTGTAGGGTTTTAGATTTAATTCTTTAAATAAAAAAGAAGTACAAATAAAAGCATTTATCAGTATTCACCATCATGAAATTAAAATTAAAAAACCAACCTCTCATTCATGCTTCCTGTAATATCTGGCAACCTAAATTAGTAATTTCATTTCAAATGTGCAACATAATATTAATAAGCATTTCAGAATTACTCAAAAGAAAAGGTGGGCAAAATATTAAAGTGCCTAACTAAACACGTTTTACCATTTTTAAAAAATATTACTTCACAAACGGTAAAGAACTGGTTGCAATTAAATATAAAAGTGACTTCTCATAGTTGAGAGACTTTGCGGGGCAGAGGCCTGGGACGGGGAACCTGCTCAGTTCTCCTGCTGCTGTTTTCCAGATTGTTTGGCCGGACCAGCTGCGGTTTGGGCGGCAGCGCCGGTGGGTCCGCGGCGGGCGGGATGGAGAGGCTGTGAGGTAGAGGAACGGGGCGTTTCAAAGTCCGCTCGTACACGCTGTAAGGTGGCGGGGTTTTACTTTCTTTTCTCACAGGCTCCTCAGAAACGCTGTAGCTTGGGACAGTCACTGCTGGTTCGCTGCCTTGGCTTTCAAAGCCTGACGTCTCTGATGTGCTACACCGGCTGAGCGAAGAGATGCCGCTGCTGTAACTCCCCGAGAGCACCGGGGAGTTGGATATGAGCCCCGAGGAATGATACTCCACTGGAGATGGTGTGAAAGATTGCACAGACCCCTGCTCGAAAGAAAGGGCAGAAGAATAATTTACCTGGAGTAAACGAGGGACAGCATTTCTGTGCTCTGAAGACTGAAGACATACAGAGATACAGCTCATACGCTCTGAGGTGTGACAAACCTGAGCGGTTGCATCCTTGTTTAATTAAGATCCAGCAACACAGCAATAAAAAGCTCATTTAAAGAGTGCCTAGGTACACCTTAAACAGTGCTCATGCCAGTAATTCACATAAGTGAAAGTAAAATAGTAAGTAATGTTACCTTGCTATCACAATAGCCTGGAAAAATCTGGAAGCCGTTAAAACGAGCCCTCAACGTTCCCAGCTTTCAGTGAAACGCATAACGCGGCACAGGGCATACCTAGTGGTGTCCTGCCACCTAATGCCACAGCACAGCACTTGCATCCCAGTCACTGCTACTACTTCAGTCTCTCGCCTTCCAAGTTCATTTTTCCAGTGCTTTTTCCCTCAAGGTTTTAGCACACCGTCCCAATGAAGAGTGCATTTACATTGCGGTGTCGTACCCGAGTGTGCCGTCATACCAAGGCCGGAGCTGAGGCGCAGAGCGGATGCCAAGCTAACAGCTGAACTGCAGTTGCTGCACCCTTCCTCTCCCTCGTCTTCCAGGCGCCCCTTGGACACACCATGCCGCTTACACGAAACAAAACCCCACTGCAGGCCCCAGGGACAAGGGCTCAGTGGAGGGAAAAGGTTGCAAACAGCTGCAGGTCTGTGGGGGAAGGTGAGGAAGGGGAGCTGAGGGCCCAAGCAGCAACAGCAGTGCTGAGGACACGTAAAAGGCAGGGACAGTAAAGCCCTACCTAGAAACACTGAGCAGTCCTAGTGAAGCAGCTTCAACCAGACACTGTAAAAGGTCAGACCATGCTTTGCAAGTCAAAAGGTTTTTGCAGCCTATCTAATTTTTGACTGGAGCCATCCGAGACAATCTCGACTTAAAGACCTCAAGCACAGGCTAAGAATGGGAGGGAAAAATCACATCTAAGACAAATTTCTCACCCCAATTCTTGTTAGACTGGTTGGCACTCAGCTTGAGGTGAGAGTGTAAGCCATGCACCAAAGGGTGGGGAGGGGAGGAAGAGGAGAGGGCAGGAGTGTATAGAACGGGCTGCACTGACTTTAAGCTGCTGAGATAATTTTAGTTATCCATCTAGGGCTGGATCCACAGTGCACTGAAAGCAATGGAAAACAAAAAATAAATCTCAATTTACATCTCTGGGTTTTGTTAACTAAGATGGCCTTCTCTGGCAGCACGTAACAGTTGGAATAAAAGCTAAAAACTGAGCCCTGTATACAGCTAGGGAAAAGCAGAGCAAGTTCTATTTAAAGCTCAATCCGTGTTGAAGGCATTGCAGACACTGTGAGGAGCCTGTTAACTACTTTTTTCAGGTTCCATTCCTCTGCATGTGAGGAGGCTGTAGCTGCACTCCTATCCCCACAAACATCCAGGGTTAAGATTGTCAAATAAATGATGCAATTGGTTCAAATTCCAAGAACACTGACACTTGGATTAAGTTACTGTAGATAAGACTTGGGACCTTTACTTTTGTTATTTGGAACGCGAGCAAATAAACCCTGCCTGCCTCAGTTTGGGAGCTGAGCAGGGGTACGCAGTGCAGACTGCTTGTACTCGTAGTGAGTACAAGTCTAGACACCAAAACAGTCTGAAAATTCATGGATGCTCAAAGTGACATTCAACAATTCTTCCAGGCCAGCATTCCTCTCCCAAGCAGTAATCCAGACTTTGGCTGTAAAATGCTTAAATTCTGTCCAGGCCTTTAGAAGAAGATGTTAGAACAAGCTTCAAACATCCCTAGGAATCATCAGTACCAGGTCTATTCAAGAAAAAAGGAAGAGTTGCTCATCTTTTGTACAAGACCCTACTGCTCTGAAGAGCTTCCTAGAGAGCAGTTAGCGTGAAACCTGGGACTGGTGCTCACTTCAGCAGAAGGTTTACTGTGGCAATAGGACTACGGGGCACTTGGCGACCAACACACAATTGCTCTGTGTTGAACGTGGACCGCTGTACAGCTGCAAGTGGAAACGCTACAGGCTCATGGGATGACAAACAGGAGAATGACTGCGGACTTGTGATTAGGGACCTCAAGGGAAAGGAGGCATTTTGGGATGCCACTTTCTTCCTCCTCAGGAGATGCGTACCTCTGCAGCATTAGTTAGGCACTGGCTAGCTGAGGGACAGCTTTGGCAAGGGCTACGTCCCTCGCACTTGAGTGCCTGAAGCACCAGTCATGCTCCTTTCTCTTTGCTCTCCTTCCAGGTTGTTGACCTTCACTTCTAACTGCAGAATTGTCTGTGCTTCCATGGGGTGGTAGAGGCTATCCCCAGGATACAACTAATGTGCAGTCTGTCAATGCTGGGGTTTGTCTGGAATATGCAGGCTGCGTGTTCATGTCCTCCAATGCTGTGCAAGACAGATATCCTGGTGAAGTTTTCCAAAAACTAAGCTGTTGTCCAACGAGTGGGTACTGACACATTCAAGTATCTTGAAATAGAAATGAAACCTGCTCAGTATAGCCTGGATCCACAATTGCTCCGGGTGTATAACTGCCAGAGAAGAACCAGTGCTTATTCACAGCCTGTGCTTAATGTTTCCTACTGGTAGGCTTCAAACTACTTCCAACTTCTTGCACAACTTTCCTGGATTGTTCTGCAGAAGAAATGGATGTTAAAATGACTGAAGCAGGGATTACTCTCTAACACACCCTCTAATCCAACAGCTCTGGATGCTGGAGGAGTAAGAGGAAAGGGTTGAACAACAGATTCTCCTTAGCTGGCATCTCCCCTTTCGCCACTGCTGGAGATGGAATTCTGGACTAGGTGGACCATTGGGCACCTCTTACATTTATTTCTTACACTCCCTTCTGTCCACTGACTCTGGTGAGCTTGGTTATCCATGCAGGTGAGAAGCCTAATATTGAGAGGCTAAACAGTCTGAAGATTAGGTTTCTTGCCTGCAGTTTTGAAATCTTCAGAGCTGCTGTAATTGTTATGGTTACCTAATCTTGTGAATGTTTTTGTATAGAAATATGACAATAAAAGGAAAACATAATATAATCTGAAATAATGTGTATTAAATAAATACTGTCTACTCCACAACACGCACAACCTGTCCCACAAAGGCAATTCATGACAATAAGACAGTACCTTCATTGGTGATCTGCCAGCAGGAGAAGGGGAAACAGAGGCTATGTGTCTTGCTGGTGATGCTGTAAAGTCAGAAAAATTTCAGTGTACAATTTTCACAAAGAAATTTTTTTAAGTGGATAGGAGATCATTCAATACATAAACATTATCTCTGGTTCCCTCTAGGTACTTGCACGATGGCTGCAAATAATTTTAAAGATTCTGTTTATTTTAATTTCTTCTCAGGATTATGAAGCGAAAGAAACTTCTGCATCCATCTTCTCTGACAAATTTTATATCACTCTAAATTGGTTTATATCCTAACACATAATAGAATTTAAAAGAAGTCGGTATAATAACTTTTCCTCTCCTCCTTCTGTTGTTCTCTTAAGAAATGTTATGTATTTGTATATCAAATAAGAAAAAAGACAATACATAATGTACTTATATCAAACATTTACCTGTAAATATTCTGTAAACATGCCTGTACATACATTGAGGCATGTGTAAAACTCAAAAAGCATCTTCAGTCCCTGGAGAACAATTGTATTTATAGTATCACTTAAGCAGCCTTTCCTTTAAATGGAAATTAATCTTTTGAAAGGCAAATTGGTTATAGTACCAGAACCCATGTACTTCCACAACTGCTGTGTATCTTCTGGCCAGTAAGATTCTTTATGATTAATGATTATTTCTGACTGCTAACCTCTAATTATCATAAGATCAAAAGATTAAATTTGATCATCCTCCCTAGTACCAGCATGAACTGTCTGAAACTACTCAGTCATTAAGTGAAGGGGTAGAGTATTGGAAATGGAATTGGAAACAGAGAACATTATCAAGATGAAAATACCCGTGGAGGCATTTCTACAGCCTTCCACGTTAGTAATCAAATTAACCTGCCCAAGAAGTTAAACATTAATCAGAGTGGAAAGAATCTAAACCCACAAGTAAATCATTCTTTTACTAGAGCTTAGCCTGAATTGTCCATTAACTCACCGGTCTGTGCAGGTCTTGGTGGTACAGGAGGAGATATAAGCTTTCCACTGTCTGATGTGTTTCTGGCTTCCTTCCCACTGTCCAGGCTCCAGCTGCTGGGGGTGGCATTTACAGCTGGAAGAGAATGGAAAAGCTGGCATAGGCATCAACACCTCCAGCTCTCTGACTTGCTTTTATCCATGAGGGTAAAAATATACAGAGCGAATAACGTTAAACAACTTCACAAGCATGCCTGAAGAGCTCTTATGATTACATCAGCATCTGAAAAGCTCTGAAATAATGGCTGTCAACCTCCAGGTTTCCTGATGTATGCATCTAGCCCTCGGATCAGTTTGCTACTGTACAGCAGTTGGGACCATCCACAATAGCAGCAGCTGAGATAGCACTCTGGTGCCCTGCAAATCCAGCCACAAAGAGAGATAAGCTTGACGCCTGTTAATATAATCAGTTAATCTTTGCCTAGAAACCTCTAAATAGGAGTCTGGTGCAGAGGGGAACAGACTATTCATAAACTGTTTCCATTAACTCATTTTATATACAGAAGGAACTACTGAAAGGAACTCACCAAATTCCAATTATCCTCCCTCAGAAATCTTTCCATACTAACAGTCTTTTGTTGCCTACACAGGCTACAAATTCAGAATTGAAAGAGGGTGGAAAGAAGGGCATGAAATGAAGGGAGTAAAAATTGGAAGAAATTAAAGTGTCGGGGGGAGCAGGGGGGGGAGCAGGGGGAGGAATCAAATGAAGAAATTATTATGGACTGAGAAAATTTATGTACACTGCATCCATGGCCAAGGATCTCTGATTAATTATGTAAATTGACTATCCCCTTGATATGCCTAAAATTGGCTGTTGCATTTACCTGTGTTACCTTCACCAAATTCCATGGCTTTAACGGAATGCTCCCATAAGGCCTAGAACATCTTCCTTAATAGAACTGGATTATCTCATGTTATCAAGAAGCCACCAACATTGGAAAGAAGTCAGACACATAGAAAGACAGGGCATGTAACATGGACAGAAAAGAAGCTAACTGAAACTCCACAATTTTTCTTACACCTCCTGTAAAAAAGCAGAAAAAAGCCCTGCTTCACACCTCCCCTTTCCCCCTCAAAAACCCACCACCAAAAACCCGCCCACCTTCAAAGCCTCCAACCTCTTGCCTTGCCATGACAGTTTCCCTCTCGGTGGGTGTCATAGTTGTGAGTAGAGAACCACATGCAAGGACTCTGCGCTCATCTACAAAGATGAAGCGAAACCTGACGTATTGTCGCTAACCGGTGGTATCAGTTATTGCTATTATAGCAACAGCAAGGGCTCTTGCAAGAACTGCAGTCCCACTATACTAGTATATGCCAGACTTAATACGAAAAGTCCAGTACAAATAGTATTTGTTTCGTATCTGTAACAATACTGTTACAGTATAAATGCACATTAGCTGACCCTGAGAACAGTGCACAAAATAATCTGTTTTCTAGAGGATCATTTTGCTTTTTTATTGCCAAAATATGCAATATATTGTTTGCTTTTTATTGTGGGCTGTCACCTAGCAGTATGGTTTTGCCCTCATCCTAAAAATGACTTGGCACCAGACCTAGGTACTTCAAATGCCTGCATCTCTTGACAAGCCAATTTTTTTTTTATTTTAAGTCATCCAAGCAGTCAGTTCTTTGGACTACTGAAGTCTCCAGGAGAGAATATTTTATTTGAACTATTCTGTAATGTACTTGGCTGCGTAGGCCAGTGGAAAAGTTTTGCCATTTGCATGTTAAATTGTTTCATATGTTTTTCAGCCCTGTAAAAAATTCCATACTTGAGCTTTCCTAAAAACTTGGACACAAAACTACTTAAGAAAAATCATTTCTTATTGATGAAAATATGATTCTTGGTCAGTTCTTGTTACAGTATATTCTTAAAATACTTGGAGTTTATTATGGATGTGGAGCACATAATGAAATCGTGGCACAATAACTGTGCCAACAGTACTGAATTTCCTCATGTGCAGAATTATGAAAGGCAGTATTTTGTACATGGAAATTCACAGGTTTCTCATTTACTCTAATTAAAATGAAAACCCAAAAAACCAACCATGAATCGATCTTTTCTTTTCCATCAAAGTGTAACAAAAAGCATGGTGACTGTATTTGGTAAAGACGACGTGCAGGTACCAAACTCCAGGACTCTGTCCATCTTTTTAGCTTCTCTCTGCCCCAATGTCCAGAAGTTAATCTCCAGGGTTCATCACCCCAGATGTGTCTCTTGAGAAGCAGAAAGGGCAACTCTCACAGGCAGCAGGCTGCAAGCTGCTGCTCCATCACCCCTTCCTGCAAATTCCTGGGCCCCTCTGAGCGCAGCGCTCAGTTCAAACAAACACCACATTCTCCCATTTTTGGCAAAGCATTTTGAAACACAGTGTCAACATAATTTAAGACTACTTCGAAACTTGGAGATGACAACATGTGCTCAGAAGAATTAGCGTTCTCCAGTAAAATGACAGATTAATTGTATTTTCATTGCTTCCAAGATGGGTGTGGCACAGTATTTCTACTCACCTTTGTCAGGGCCCGGCAGATTGGAATCACTTCGTGGCAAAGCACTGTCTCCAATATGATTAAACAGCATTCTCTGTAAATTGAGAACAGCATGGTTTAGGCATAGCTGCTGTTGTATTTCAGTAGCCTTTAAGAAAAGAAGTATCTTTTTTGTTATTATCCCCACCACACAGGTCTACTTTGGAGTTAAGAGTGATGAACATCACCTACAAACATAGAGTTTCATAAAAATATGTGTATACAAATAGGGAGTAGACTGGTTTTCAGAAAACTGTACACAGGTGAATCAGAAGGAGGATTATTATGTACTGAGTTCTGACAGTTTCCAGCTCCCTAAAAAAACCCAAAATAAGGCTCATTCCTCCAGTGGTATCTTGATAGATTTCTAAACAAGTTCAGATAATAACAAGTGCAAATAATTTCACTGCAGAATCAGGATCTGAACAAGCTGCAATGTTTGACAATATTCGAGTTGTGGCTGTTACTTTAGAAGAGCATTGTGTATTACTTTCACCCTTGACTTTTCTCGTAGCAGTGTTCTTACTTCTCTTGTGGATAAGAGCTGACCCGTAAAGTGTGTTTGGTTTTCCTTTTCACAATTTTTTTCTTTTTTTTTAAAATCACAGTAAGTTTATGAAACAGTTTTAAGATACCACGTGTTACTTCTTTTAGCAGAATTCAAATGATCTGTGGGTCACTAGTTCATCTGGATAACAGATATAAACAGCATACAGTGAATCTACAGGTAATGCAGATGTACTTTCCAGAGGAACTGAGAACAGATAAAATTTACTATTTTTTTTTCTTTTAAAGCAAGATCAGACAATTGGTGAGATCCAAATCAAACCGAATTTAATTCTTGTACCTCCTTCCCGTGTTCACAGAGGACCATGCCAAGTCCGTGAGGCACTATGCTGTGGTTGCACAAGATGGCAAACCCAGCTGCAAAGTAATCATCATTGATCTAACGTGTCACAGCTCCATGTTACAAAGTGAGGAGCAAATACTTGACCAATTCAACTTCACTTAAAACATCTCATTGAGAGAACGTGTTGGCAGACCTTGATCTATGCTAGGTTGGCCTATCTATGCTGTACTCGAGTCATACTGGATCAGGTAATGTGTGTTATCCTAGGGTTACCATTACACTGATGTGGTGTAACTGCATGTGAACCCTAATGTGACAGAAAACGCGACCAAATGTTCCTGCCTGGTCTGGATTGAATGTTCACTGCCTAGTGAGTCTGTAGTGCACTGGGACCCGGTGGGCAAGTGTTGAAGCCTGTTTTCTGTAGTGAAGGTAAAGAGCAAAGGCTGAAAAAGCAACTGAAATTGGAGAAGATAAAGAGGCAAAAGCTGAATGAAATACAGAGAAATGAGGACATACTAAAATAATGAATATAAAACCACACGGAAGAACAAGAGCAATCACAGGATGTTTAATGAGACGCAAAAAAAATCCAAAAAGCTCCATTAGGAAGAATAATAGTGTGAAAACAAAGGAGGCTTGTTGACCAGTCAATGACAGCAGGCATTCCTCTTCAGAGTATGGGAAGAGCTGCAGAGACACTGTACGATTGCTCAGCCAGAGATCAGAAAGCAAGCACAAATGGATGTTGACTGAAAAACAGCTGTACATAGATAACCTTGAGCATCAATTTCAATGAGAGAAGCAGATGCAGTGCTGCTGTGGTCTTGTTCTATGAAGTCCATCAAAATTCCTTAAGTGAGGTAGCTATGGCCTGAAAGGACTTGATTTGGACTTGAAGTGCTGGGATTTGCCTGTGCATCTCATCCTTCCCGGTTGAAAAACTACTGTGAACATTGCATTCATTAAGCCGTAACAAAGACGTTCATAAACGGGTGGTCTTTTCCTCATTAACTTAGTGTGAAGCTCCAACCAAGACTGTTGAACTTAACTGGTGTTAGAATAAAAATAGAAAGGACAAGGAACAGATTGAGCATCTAAATTCTGGTAAGAGTTACAGATGTCCCTAAGATATTTCCTTACAATTGTCCTGAGGATTTCTTTTCCCCTTCTTAATCAGAAGGCCAAGAATCAGGATTTTGTTTCTGATCACAGTCCATTTTTACAGTGTGGGGGAACAAAGCCCCAGAGGAAGAAATTGCACCTTTCCCCAGAAAGATATATCCTCATTTATGGTTATGAGGGCAGAAAAAAACTGTCAGACCTTCTTGCCTTTGAAACATACTGCACTGTACAAGCAAGTTAATTTTCTACTTACCCTCTCTTGGGACACTGAGGGTAGAGACAGATTGGGAGATTTTCCTGCCGGGCGAGTCTCAGAGAGAGCAGAGACTGGGCCTACGAGCTCCTCAGCCTCCCTTATTGAATCTCGGGTAGAGTGGGGGATAGAAGTCACATTCCACTTGGCAAAGCAAGAGTTTGCAGTCTGGGAGCAAAAATGGGATAATTTTTTTCTTTGCGGCAAACTGTAAAACCGCTTTATTTAAAGAACATCTCCTAGTCTTTCCCGTATGCTGGTTTGGCTCCACTGCCACCAAGAGAGTGCCCCAGCAGATACATCAGTAAGTAGTTCCTGAGAACTGCCCTTACGTCTGGCTAAGCTTCATTATTACTTCTTAAATGCTCAGGTAACAGAAAATAGGAAAAAAAAAATCCAGAGCCAATTCAATAACTGAAGAAGCAAGGGATAAGAATAGAACTAATGTGACAGCAACAGATCATTTCTAAAATAAAGGACCTTGGACTACCAAGTTTTTTTTTTATCAGAGGAAAAATTTCTGGTGGGAATGAGAGTGTTGAGAGGAGGGCCTTTCACACCGTGCTTATGTTCTCATCTTTCTCAGCTTCAGCAAGAAGCGCATTGTGTGATGGCACAGATTAAAACAGCAACTGTGTTAAAGGAAAGCACTTTAGGAAAGTAGGTCCTAAGAAGAAAAGGTTAAGTAAGGATTCAGAATGGGCCAGCTGACCAAGCTCATTTTGCATCGCAGAAAACTCAAAAGATACAAATTTAATATAGACCTATGTTAGAAGTAATTTTAAGGTAAGAATACAACTCATTCTTTTCTCTGGAGTAACAAAATGTGTATTTTTCTTTCCTGAAACTACACTGAAAAATAGGAATTGCCACATGGAGTGGGTTATTATGTCATAGTGCCTAGGACAGTTATTTCAGAAGAAATAAAGGGGATGTCAACACGGAAAACTGCTGTGATAACAGTTTTTCTTCTTCCTTAGATTAAACAAACACTGCCGTTTCACACATCAGGCAAGTCTTTGCATCTTTCTCTCACTTCAGTGAGTAAATATCAAAAACTAGACCTAAACCTAGACAAAGCAAGCATAAATGTGATCAATCACCATCTATTCTATTCACATCTCTTTAATGTAAATATTTTAGAGTAGTTACCAAAAAAACAGCCCTTGAAAATTAACAGCATTGAGCAGACACTGAATATGCTCAAAGTTCAACAAGCTCCTTTATCATCTTGTTAGCTACTTGTGTTCAGAGGACTCCCAACAAACTTCCTACCTGCGAGGTTTCCAAAGGAGTAGGGTAGATAGCACTGCAAGGCCTCTCTCTTGGGGACAGGCAAGAGTTTTCTCGGGAATGTTTATGTTTGTCAGACAACAGAGGAGAGGCTAGAATATAAATGTGTCAAATTATTAAATTCATGCAGTGAAATTCAGACACTTCAAGTCTATGCTTATGACAAAGAAATCCTCTGTTCCCTGTAATTCACATTCCTCAAACAATTGGCTAAATTTGATGTCAGACCAGAGATATAATGCAGGAATTCAGCTGTGTAAGGTATCAAGAATCATTTAATATATTTTGCCACAGGCAATGAGCACTGACCTCTGGCACTGGATGGAGCAGAACTGGTCACATTAGGTGAAGCAGAATGAGTAGAACTCAGGCTTGAGGTAGACGGACTAGGCTGCGTACAGAAGAGATGCTGTTACCACATAACACTTACTGCTTTGGAAAAACATTTATAACATACTTATCACTAAGAAAACTTTTAATTTGTAAGACTAGTTTCTCAATATTTCAAAATAGCAAAGCAGTATAAAGAACATGAATGGAACTACACAAAGATGCAGCAAAATATCAAATAAACAGAAATCTAATTAGCATATTAAAATAATTACATCTCAACTATGACAACCGGACAGAGAAGTCTGATGTAAGGTCAGATGATTTCATATCACAGTGCATTGCTGCTGATTACTTTTGTAAAGAATTCATGCCCCAAGTTAAAGAAACATAAGAAAATGTTCCTTTTAAGTCCAGGAGTTTAACACCCCATTTAAAGATTTGCTTTTTAAAAGAAGTATCAGCAATAATTTTGAAATTTCTGAATAAACTAACAGAAGTTTTAATTTAGGACATACCCTTGTAAGAAAAATTTTGTTTAGTTTGAAGAATGTCAATAATTTGTACCTGCATGTTAAAAACTTCATCGGAGCTTTCTGATTGCCCAGTGATATTGCTGACTTCAGCAGAAGCTTGGGATGACAGCGACGAGGATGAGTATCGATTGACAGCTGGATAACTCAAGGGGCTATTGTAAGAATAATGAAATATTAAATGGTTAACTCTAGTTGCCAATCATAACTTTTCACGTGAGAACAGCACGTGTTAACTGTGATCTCCACAGTTTAATCTGGATTTATTAGGAAGGAGAGGGGGAAAGAGAGAGTGTATGTATCAGCTATTCATGACTGAAGGTACTTCAAAGCAGACCATACAAGGAAGCATGCACACAAAGAAGTATTTTATGGATCATCCTCTGAGAGTAACAAAATCTATCAACTCCTAGTATTTTAACTTGCCTGCGTCTCGGTATTACCCTGGCACCATCAGGGCTCATAGAAACAGGTATGGAATTTCGGCATACACGAGGACTTCCATTTGGGAAATGAACAGGGCTAGCTTGTACACAGGCAGAAAATTCCTGGTGAGTTGTTAAAAGAAGTTTAATTAAAATGAACACAATATCATTAAGCATTTTGTAAGATACAGACAGTCACCTGAATGGTTATATATACATTCTGGATCACTTTCATCCTTAGTAAGAAAAATATTTTACTTTTTCTGCTGATGATACTTTCCCTTTAGTAAAATGTGACTGTTTTTCTCTGCACTGTATGGAAAGTTTATTAACTTTCTCTTTGCTTTGTGGTACTGAAAGAATGCTACAAGGTGCAATGTAGACAGACAACCAAAAGATGTCACTATTTGTTGCCTAAGAAAATTAAACCACCCTTACTGCTGCTAAACGGTGTCCTGGTTTATCCATGCACCTGCTCACATACCTGTATTCCCAAGCTTGACTTCATCACAAAGAACTGATCCACCAGCTTTTTGTGCAATGGCCTCATATCCTGTGGCACCACCTTCTCGTGCACTGCCAAACCAAATTCTAGAATCTGGGCCTGCAGAAGAGACAGGAGGAAAGAAGGGAAACCCATATTTTTGATCCATTTTCTATAAGCTTTCATCCTCAATTACGATACTAATAAAAAAACCCAATAAAATGCATGTTGTATTAAAAGCATCTCTCTAAATCCCTGACAGACTTGTGATCTAACAAGGCCTAAGACCAAAACCAGTAATAACACAAGAGGACGTATGCCTCTTCCCATTTTACTATTCAATTTTGCTGAAGATTTGGCCTACGCAAATTCAACCGTAATATAAAAACCACTATGGATAATGTAGCGAAAAATCTGGCCGAATGGCGACTTTACAATGTGGCATTTCTAAACCCTAAATAAAAGCCCTTTTATACAATAAAATAAAAAGCATGAAACAGCAGCAATGCCCACATCCACCACAGACCCTGAAATATATTTTCAACTAAGTTCCCCATCCTATTCCAACTCCCCCAGAGACCTCAGTAAGTGGTGGCTTTATGTATATTCTTGATGCAAGATGTAACAGGCTTCTTAATAACATTACTAAAACTCTGAACTTGCTCAAAATTGGTCACAGGCATTTAAAATAGTAAATTGGTTATATGAGGAATCAGATAAACTCAAATTTAAAAACAAAATAGTTACACTATGCTGTAATATCTTTGGGTGGGAGCTACTAGCTGATGTTTTCAGGCAGCCTGCGAGCGGGCAGAGATCTGAGGTCAGGACTGCAGCGCAGCACATCCCCCGGCACACACAGCCATCCCGGCCCTTCCAAATCCTCCGTGTTCTCTGGTAAATCGTCTGTCAGTGCCAGGCAGGGTTGAACTGCTATCAACCAGAAGTCACAATTTTCTCACAGGAAGTTATTAACTCCACTTTTAAATTCTAAGGGTTAGTGAGATTAACTAGAGCCTGAAAAAACAAAACTGCAGCGTAAATTACTGCACATAATCTAAATGAAATTAAAGTAAGATCAGTGAACCTATTCTGATTTCTACTGAGGATCTGTCCTTCAACTGATCTCACCAAAAGATACCACAAGGCTGATGAAAAATGGAATTTTCATCTTGCCAAATTCCAATACTCTGACCTTGTTATCCCAAACTGGCAATAAAGTTTGACATTTCAACACGCTGCATAGAACAAAGATAAATATCAGTTAAAGGAGCAAAAATACTTATTAAGATCATTCGATCAAAATATTTTTTTCAGCATTTCCAACTGGAGACAAATCATATTTGAGGTTGGTACGCTGTCTTATGAATAAATGAAGAAATAATACAAAAATAATGTAATGCATAGAATGCTAACAGTTTTAATTTTATCACTTACTGTTTATTTAACTGCATACCTATTTTGGCAATTATCATTAAATATTTTGCACTGTAATAATATTTTTCAGGTTTTTTTGCTCTTATGATAAGCTCGTAGTGAAAATGTTTGTTCTGCATTATTGGTAAAATACGTCATACAAATATTCGGTGACGCCACCAAACATTTCAATGAGATAATGTTTATTCTGTAGTAGTGGTAACACAGGCTGTGCAAATATTTGTGTATGACCATCACAAGACAAAATCTTACCTCTCATTCAACCTTTAATTTAGAACAGTTTGAAGTGATTAAGATGATGATGAAAAGGACTCAGAAACCTGTTTGTATATGAAGTTACTGTCCACTTCGAATCTAATTTGGAAAATAATGAAGACCACTGGGCAACTATTAACTCCTGAAATTTTATATTTAATTTTGGGACACTTTTAGCTATAACAGTGGAGCAGGAAACCTAGTTGGTTTTTTCCCCACTTTACCTGCTCAAGCATCAGCTCTCTCAAGCGTGCGATCTTCTCTCCATCCTCTGGATGGTTCAAGATGTATTCTTTGACAAAGAATGCCTAAGCAGAATAAAATCACAATGTAATATAAAGTGAGTAAAAACACATCACTTCGTTTTTAAAATAAGTTTCTAGGTGATATTTTTGAAAAAAGAGCTCATTTGTCCTGCAATAGATGATAATAAATGTTAAATAATTATTCATATATGCATTGGTGGAAACTATAGGCAAATAAATATAGAATCACAGAATGGTTTGGGTTGGAAAGGACCTTAAAGATCATCTAGTTCCAACCCCCCTGCCATGGGCAGGGACACCTTGCACTAGACCAGGTTGCTCAAAGCCTCATCCAGCCTGGCCTTGAAGACAGCCAGGGATGGGGCATCCACAGTTTCTCTAGGCAATCTGTCCTAGTGCTTCACTTCCCTCTCCGGGAAGAATTCCTTCCTGATGTCCCATCTCAATCTCCCTCTTTCCATTTAAACCCATTACCCCTTGTCCTGTCACTACAGGCCCTTGTAAAATGTCCCCCCCCAGCTTCCTTGTAGCCCCTTCAGGTACTGGAAGGCTGCTATAAGGTCTCCCCGGAGCCTTCTCTTCTCCAGGCTTCATAGCCACTCTTGAGTGGAATTCACCAATTGTTCAATATCAAGGACAGATCCTCAATCAAATTTGGAAACCTGAAAGTCAGAGTTGAAACCAAACACAGGTCACCTGAATGACATACCTCTTCTCCATTAATTGTGACACAGGAGTTTCCATAATTACAGAGTTGGATTTTCCTCTCTTTTAATACTAGGACTGTTGTTACTCCTCTATCTTACTTCTTAAATATAAAGATATCTTAATAACTGTGTGGAATTTTATGCTATTATATGTATCAGATCTGTGACATTATCTTATTCACTTTTATATAAATAAAGCTTTAAAGAACTCACAAGGACATTGACGTCAAAGAAAACACACTTTTCACATCCGGAGCATCTGACCAACAGCCAGGTGTGTTCATGAGCTCACATGACTTTCCACACCATCGCCAGTGCTCAAATTGTACAAGCTATAGTAGCCCAAAGTCATTTTACCCACCAGCAATGGCCTGGACATAGCACTCCCCTGTTTGTTCATGGCTGCATCTTTCTTAACATGGCAATTATCCTACCCTGCAATGGCATTATAAGGAGTTTTTAACAATTCTTGACACTATTCTGATAAGAAAATGCCCAGCTGTTCATCTGACAGATTTCTAGATCCTTTCAAAAATGCATTTGTCACAAAAAGTATCCATACTCATACACACACAGTTTTTTGTCTATTGAGCGGAGAGGATAATTGTGGCTGCTCTGTGCTGTTTTCCTTTGGCACCTGTCTTAGCATTTCCCTCATACACTTCTTACAGGATTCTCCACACACCTTCAGCTGTTAAAAATCTTTGCTAAGCAGAATAATTTGTAAATATGGGGATTAGTGGAGCTGGAGATAAATATTTCCCTTCCTCTGATTCAGTTCCAAAATTCCATGCTGTGACAATCCATTAACAAGAAAGTGCTGAGACCTGTGTGAGAACCCTGATACTGTAATGAAGAACATGTATTTCACATGGTCCTTTCACTGCAGATAAGTAGAATTATAAGAATTCATGTTTAAATTGTTAAAAGGAGACCTCTGATACTTGCTAAAATCCCAAATCTCAAACTTCTGCCAGCTGATGTTTTTTTTCCTCTAAGCTACAAGCATAATGTTCTTTCAGTGTCAAGCAGGTGGTGTCCCAGTGGTTCTGGGCTGAGATTTATACAGAGCTGTAATATGAGTCAGAGATGCAATAATCTAACTTTAAACAAAATCAACAGCACTTTGGGGAAAAAAAAAATATCAGAATTCAACTAATTCGAGTAACATTCTTGGAAGCGGTGGCTTCCAATAATTAATCATGAAAGTGACTCTACTCTTTTAGCACATGTAAAGGAGTTAAAAGATATCTAAATTATAGTACAAATTTTTTGAGAGGTGCTGGTGGACACAAAACACATTCTTCATGATTTTCCAGCAATATTTAGAAGTTTTTTGGGTTTTTGGTTTTGGTTGCTCGCCCCCCCACCGCCTCCCATATCAGTGGCTTGGTCTACAGCCTTTTTTAGCACACATGAAGGTGCTGCATGATAACTCTTACTTCTGCAGATTTTCCTGGAATTTGTTCCTCTATTGAAACCAGTGAAAATATAGCTTTAACACCTGCTACACCAGCCAAAGTGCTGAATAATTAGAGATAGCTGCTTTTTATCCCATGGGGGAGGAGGGTGGGTAGGCAGAATCAATGAGGCAGCAGCTGGCCAAAGGATGTTATTTGCTGAGTCTTAACACTTCTTAAATCTTGGAAGTTGCTGGAAGGGAAGTAGGGTATCTGTAAAGACATGGTGATGCTTACCTCAAGACCAAATTCTCCAAGACTGACTGAGTTTTAAGTTTTGTAAAGGGCAGAAGGCAAAAGCAAGATAAGCAGATAGGCAGAGAAAAGCATTTACAGAGGAGAGGGAAAGGAAAAAAGGAGGAAAAAAAAGGGACCTCAGCAAGTTTGCTGACAACACCAAGCTGTGTGGTGCGGTCGACACGCTGGAGGGAAGGGATGCCATCCAGAGGGACCTGGACAGGCTGGAGAGGTGGGCCACTGCCAACCTCATGGAGTTCAACAAGGCCAAGTGCAAGGTCCTGCACCTGGGTTGGGGCAATCCCAAGCACAAGTCCAGGCTGGGTGAAGAGTGGATAGAGAGCAGCTCTGAGGAGAAGGACTTGGGGGTACTGATGGATGAAAAGCTGAACATGAGCCGGCAGTGTGCGCTGGCAGCCCAGAAGGCCAACCGTATCCTGGGCTGTATCCAGAGAAGTGTGGCCAGCAGGTCGAGGGAGGTTATTCTCCCCCTCTACTCTGCTCTTGTGAGACCCCACCTGGAGTGCTGCGTCCAGCTGTGGAGCCTTCAACATCAGAAGGATATAGACCAGTTGGAACGAGTCCAGAGGAGGCCACGCAGATGCTCAGAGGGCTGCAGCACCTCTGCTATGGGGACAGGCTGAGAGAGTGGGGTTTGTTCAGCCTGGAGAAGAGAAGGCTCTGGGGAGCCCTTATAGCGCCCTTCCAGTACCTGAAGGGGCCAAGAAAGCTGGGGGGAGACTGTACAAGGGCCTGTAGTGACAGGACAAGGGATAATGGCTTTAAACTGTCTAGGAGATCAAGAATTCCAGCTAAGGACAACAATAAGTAAGGAGCAAGCTAGAACCTTTAACAGGCTTGTGAGGAAAGGAAAGTGATGCAGAAACACTGAGCTAGGTCTGACATCGCTAATTCAAACCAGACATAGCTCTGACATGACTGTATTTCTCAAGGGACTCCGTTCATGGCGCTTCACTATGCTAAGTAGTTGTTTTCTTGTTGTTTAAAGGCAGCTGGGAAACATCAAACATGGTAATGCTTTGCTTTAGTCTCACAGTTTTAAATATGCTGCAGTTTTGATGACAGATTCTTAAACTAAAGCAGTCTCCATTCCTTGTAGTTTAATGTAGATCCAGTTTTATGAAATTTAACTCGAGTGAACACCAGATCTTGCAGCATTTGAGTCAAGTGGACAGATGTTATTCAACTTGACATTTTCAATAGAAAAGGAACAACCAGCAGACTCGAGTATTTCATAAGACTCTTAGGAGAAAGCAGAAGATGAAGCTTGGCTGACCAAAAAAAAAAAAAAAAATCCTTCTTTTCTTTTTACTGCATTTTCAAAATTCTACAGAACTTTGTGGAAATACAGCTCCCAATCACTTACTGTCCTCCTAAGGTGATTCAGAGATGACAATAATGAGGAACAACGTTGGGGAACAAATCCAGCATTAGAGATTTGTTAATTATTTGTATTATTTCTTACTAGATTTTTTCCAGGAAGTAGTTTTCATTAAAAAGATGATAAATTTCTTGCTAAGAATTTCATATTTATATACATAAAAAATATCTTAATTAGAATGTCCACACACAAAAGTAAATTGTCTATTATTGATATGGCACTTTCTGTCCTCAATTCATACAGAGAAGCTGCATGTCTACAAAGAAAGAAATAAGTAAGAAACTGTCTTCTGACAGACTTCTAATAAACAGAAACTAAATTGCTTACCTCTTGGTATCTAGCAACTCCACCATTAACTGCTGCATCAATAACCCCATTTAGACACATTGTGAGGGGGTTAATGTTTTGCATCTGTCGAGTTTGACACTGACTAATCAGAGTTCTCAGCTGCTGGTTCTTATTTTCTAAGACTTCAATAGCATTCTCAAGGGGACTCATTTCCACCTGAAAGGGAAGTGAGGAACATTGCAAACATACTTAATCTTCAGTTGAAAGATGAAATATATTAAAGGTAATTTTTGATTTCTGAAAAGAAAACAATAATATTCTGCGTTCTAGGGTATTGGAGCAGAAGTTTTTCTCTCTTTGGCTACATTCTCTGTGCATATACTCTGAGCACAGAGAGACTTCATTCTATCACGTAATCCAGGACCACAACAGACAAACATCCCTCTCTTGTAGACTCATTCTCTGACCTTGAGAGATTACTCAGCCCTTGCAGTGTAACACTCACACCAGCCTGTGGTGGAACTCCAGGAATTCAGGGCTGAACTGTCCTTGGTTATTTCACATAAATTGGTACCAGCACAACTAGGCTTGAGGTCAGGGAGAACTTCTCTGGGCTTAAGGACACAGAGCAGAGCTTAAGTATGGGCGAGCTAGTTCCCCCACCCAAAGTGAAGTCACCAACTAGACAGTACGGATGAGGAACTTTTCTCTCAGGCAGCATGAACTGCAGAAAGAGGGAAAAGCTGAGCGATAAGAAGAGTACAGGCCTGTAGTTGCTTTAATTTACTAAAACATACAAGCACAAATCTGAGACAGGACCTAGAACATGCCCAGGAAAAATTACTACAGTTAAATTGGAAATGGTGACTATAATGGTAACACGAAATAAACTGAGGATCTTCATATTAGGGGCTCAATTAAACCAGTATGGACTCAGTGGGGATCAACTAAAAAAATTTCTCCTGTCACACACAATTTTTTGACTTTTACTAAATCCCATTTTTGGTTTTCTACAGGAGAATATCAGGCTTGTGAACTAATGACATTTTGTTGCTATTATAAAAGAAAAACACACTAGAGTTTTAGAAAGAATCAGTTGCGCAATGGTATCCCTATATTGTAAGACTGGCCCTATTGTAAGACTGGCTTTAACAGGAAGGAAAATAGTTACAGATGCTGTACTCCTGGGCTCAACAATTGACCAATTATTTAGAAATCTTTACAGGAGAAGCACTCCCACAAATACATTTGAAATGTATTTAAGGATTTTCTAAGAAATATAACAACAAGGAATGAGAAGAAATTATAATGCATCAGTAACAGATTGCTACATTAGACCCTATTCCTACAAGTTGTGCGTAGGCATGCTTCCCTTGCCCAAGCTGAGAAATGGGGACTTCATCAGAGCTCTAGGCAGACACAAAGATACACCCACACAGCATTTATTACAGTACAGGAACTTGGAGAATGTTTACTTTTTAAGAATACTGGGATGTATGTTAAACTATAGCTATAGTATTAAACGTTACGTCATGCTGAGTTTTAAGAGTCATTTGCCAACATTAAACGTTGTCTTTTGCTCCACTGTGGTTCTCAACCTTTTTTCCTCAACTGTTAAAATTAATCATAAGGTGGTTTTCAATAATACTTTTCAAGTAAAGAATTTCGTTGTAGCCATCTCGAAAACTTGCTCACATAAACTAGATGTGCGTAATAAATCAAAGTAGTTAATAAAAAAGTGTAAGATTAAGGAAGTAAACCAACACACTATATGTTTTGTCATCAGTCTCATACTCACCACTTCTCGTTTTTCCACTTCAAACCAACGAGATATTCCAGGTAAACTCTGCACCAAGATCAGTGTGGTTCTCTCCACCCACAAACTCTGCAATATGCAAAACCAATTTATTTCCCTAATTTGCCTCTACTTTTTTCTTAATTATTTCCATTTTTCTTTATCAATACCTTCATTTAAGTAACAGTATACATTAAAAAAAAAAAGTATTAACATCCAAATTTCTACTGAAATGTCTATCCCAGAAGCCTATGACATTAACTTTTTCTCCTTACTTTCTAGGACCTATTATTAAGCAATAATTTCTGCTGATTCTTCAACTCTGGAACATGGTATTATTCTATATTATATGTTGTCTCCTAACTTCCCAAATTCACAACTAAATCATAATTTTAATACTTCCTTTTCAAGATAACATCTGAGAAGAGGGAGAATTCAGAAGGAGATCAACTTACAGATCACACTGAGTGACCAGCTCTCCTCTGTGAAGTCCTATTTGGGATTCCACAATGTATGGCTAATGGGATACTCAAATGTACTACCGTTAAACACCACACAAGATGTTTGTAAAATGACAAATCAACACATAGGATAGCACTTGAACAAAATATATATAAGCTGTACTATTAAAATAAAGCCCTAAGCTTTAATTAGAGGACAACAGTGACTTAATTTATCTAATTTATTACCCTCACAATTCTTTCCTCTAACTTTATAACACAATTATTATGGGATAATTCTCTTTGTATGTTCAAATACCAGAATATATGCTGTGTCAGGACTCAAATTATACCAGAAGAATGTAAGATGAAATTTCAGTGTGACATTTTTATTAGGAGGAAGAGAAGTCATTTACATATTAGGGAAGGAACTATTGCTCTTCCCGGAAACAATCTTTAAGTTCAGAGGTAGTTTTTAGTCTTGCTATCACAGGAACAGGACAATATGCTGCAATTTAGTAAAAATTGTCTCTCCCTTACTCTAGGGACAGAGAACTTCTAGCAGTCCTATCCATACCCCAGGCTACCTCCTTCAAAATGTTTTCCTATCTACCTTATAAACTTATTTGGAGGCTGCTCTGCTGCCTCCAGTTCTACCTTCTATATATCAGGGATGCAAAAACAAATGGGTACTTTTTTCTCTCCTATTCCCATATACTACAAGACCTTCCCATCTTCCATAAATTTTTCATACTATTTCAATTGAAATGAGAAGTCAAACAGCTACTTGAGCTACCATCTCCTCTAGAGAATGTTATACCACACTCAATGGAATAACACAACTTATTGTAAATATTATAAATAAATCCATAGATCCAGTAGCTCAGGAAAGGGCATGGTACTTTACCTTGAATTCATTTTCCTTGTCCTTGGTCCCTTTGTGAAACGGCCTGTCGTATCGGAATCGCCAGATGTGATTAACTTTGTAGAAGCTCTTGATGTTATCGGGAATGCCGTCTCTTAGCAGGACTTCCTGGTTTTCTGGAATTGGTGTCACTGCATAAATCTGTAAATCTGTATGTAATGTGTTAAGGCTATCCCACTTCATTCAAATCAGCAAAGCATGCTGACTCCTGATGCACGAGAGAAGAAAAACTTTTTAAAAAGTGTGTATCATGAAATGCTTCTAAGACTGTTAATGGCTTGGGAAAGGGACCTGAGAGATTTTTTGATGGTTTGGGATTTCTTGGTACTGTTTTGTTGAAAATTTCATATTTATTTTTGAAATAGAGATACTTACATAGAGTAAGTACATAAAGTAAAAGGATTTAATAAAATACATTCTTACACCAAATATGTCATGCCATGCTAGCACAACGTTGTATTGCAAGAACCTGAATTACTGTAACTTCACTGATACACCATTATCACAGCGGTGCTAGTTCTACAAGTATTTTCGGCTAAAGTAAGAATCTTAATAACCTGTCAAGGAATTTTTAAATAAAACCGACAGTTACAGAAAAAACTTGCAAATATAATAGAGTGACTGGGACAAATGGCAGGGGAATTCTCACCTACCATTTATTTCAGTGGAGGCACATTGTGATTGAAATTGGCTACAAGTGTACCTACATTTCTTAAAAAACATGAAAGACGTAACTGCACTGTATGTGTTTGCAATTATGTGGATACACTGTGCTTCTGCCTGAAAGATGGTCTCATCTGGCTGATTAGCATGTTGCATAGCAATGGCATGTGGGAACTCATTCAACATTCGCTGCTGGAAGGCCTCCAGCCTTTCATAGTCATGTCCTCGGCAAACAAATTCCTTATTCTGAGCAGGATAAGAAAAAAAAAAAGAAACACCACACAACAGTAAGTAATGTGAAAATAATTGGGTATCACTAGGTAAAACTAAACACATGCTTTTAAATGTAGGCTTTCTGGGCAATTTTTACACCTATTTAAGAAGGAAAAAATAAGAAACAAGGCAAGAATGAAAATAAGAAATTTAGAAAGAACAGGTGACATAGAAGAAGGAAATTTTACCATAGAAAATACATTTTATTCAAAAGTCTAGAAAAAATAGAATTATTGTACTTAAAGCTTTAATAAAAATCTGAAGGGAAAAATTGTTCTTACTGGATTAAAGCATGTAACTAACATAACATACCAGACTGTATAAAATATGTAACAAAAATATAATGCAATGGACAGTTAAGACAATGAAATGGGCTCAAAGTCCTTTCCATGATGAACTAGGAAACCTTGTATTTTAGTTATACAATTCTGAGGAAAAGCAATGTATAAGAAGATGGTAGAATGCATTCAATTTGCCTTATCCTCTAAATGTTCATCAATTATCAGTCTGCTAAATTAAAATTATCCAATTTTTTAACACAAAGTAAAACAATACTCCTGGGTCCAAAATAATTTCTTTTACCTGAATGCCCACTATGAAGTTGCACCATTATTTTCCTGAGATTGTGCAACATGAATACGGATACAACACATATCCAGCATTAAACATAAGATTGCCTGGATTTGGAGTACCAGTTGGAACTAGTCACTGACAATGGTGGTGCTGAGGGCTTCCTGTAGCTGTGGACAACACTTTTTGGTTTGATTCTACTTGGACACACATTTGAAATAAGGAAACATCTTAACCATTTTTCTAAAAACACAATGTTCCTTTAAAAATCTATACTAGAAAATTCTAAAAAGTTATTACTGATGTGTTCCTCTTGAAGCAGGTTTAGATAGAAACAGTTGTTGTCCTTACAGTATCTTGACAACAGAGACAGGACGCATTGAATTCTGAGCACCTTGACTTTCATGGGAATTGCTACAAGAAATCCACTGCAATAGTGTTATTGTGAAACTACAAATCAAAATGTGAAAGATTTATCATGAAGTTTCATTCTTTATTCCTTCTACAGAAACACAGTCAAACTTATAAACTGCTTTGCCATTAAAAAAATTAAATCAAATGCTGTAAGTAAAAATTAAATCAAGTGCAGTAAGTTTTGAGGTGTTCCTCGTTGGTGCCACAAGCATGAATCTGCGCTATGTACATTTAACTTGGAAATGTATAAATATTTTCTGGGCAGATGGACAAGCAGGGAAAGACCTACAGGCCTGAAAGTACTGCACTATTGTACAACTTCTTCCAGTACTTTTACTTCATCAGTTGATGTTTAGTAATCTGTACATTAAATTCTTTCTAATTAACATTTTCAAATTGGTTTACATTGATGTCATATTCAGATGACTGCTAGGTAATATCAAAAACCATGTCCCCATCAGAGACTTTCTGTGCATCGCTTTTAAAGGGGAAAGTTTCATGCTACATTTAACATTTGGAATTTGTAATTTTTCCCACCACAATGGCAAATTAAAATCAGGCTTTTCAGGCCTCCACCATACAGACAAGGTTCCTTTGTCACTTATTTGAATTACCATATGTGCTGGGTTCAGCCAGGAAAGAGTTAACTCTCTTTACTGTGGCTGCTAGGAAGCTGTTCCTGCATGGAGAGAGCAGCACTGACAAGGTCTCAGCTGGCACTGGGGAATGCCTGCACTGAATTCAAGGTCTTTCTCCAATTCTGATCCTGCAGCTGCGTTCCCAGCTCTCGCGGTCTGGCTACAGACAGTGCAGGGGACACACAGGTCAGGCACCTGACCAAGGGAGTATTTCATCCCATAGTACATCATGCTGGGGGCAGAGGCAAGGAGGGGGTCCGGGAGTCATTACTCTCTCTCCGTTACTCTCTCTTGTTCGCTCCCGTACACCTGCTAATCCTCACCCTGACTCCTGCGTTAGCTGCTTCGCTAACTCCTGTGCTGGCTCGTTCGGGAGGGAGTTGGTGGGTTTGTTTAGTTTTCCTGGTCTTGCTACCGCTGATAGAGTTCACTCAGAATCTGCAGCAATAGCTCTCGGGCTGCGGCTCTCGG